TCAGTGAGCTGCACATATTCCCCTCCATCAAGTTTTGTTTAAAATAAGACTTTCTTTAGAAAAATTCAGAAGCAGCCAGACGTTATTGTTTGTCTGATGGTACATTATTTCATTATTAAATTTTTCATGGTACATCTATTGATAGTACTAATTTTAGCAATGGTACTAGAACATTTATTTAGTGTTACTTGTTTATAATATATATATATATATATATATATATATATATATACAGACTAAAACATTTATTATTAAGGGTAATGCTGTTCAAATGAAGTCATGAAAAACTCATGAGTATGTTTTCAGAACATGAATATTAATGTTGCAGACAGCAATGATAAGTTCAAGCTTACACGTTTGCTTATGTTTGCGGTCATTAAGGGTAGGCCAGTTGATCAGACACAACCTAAATTACAGGCAGACGTTCCATATTAATTAATGATCACAGAACATTGCAGAAAGCAGATTGGCTCTACACTTCTTTTCCAGATAATTTGTTCGCTGACATGCTACCACAGGGACCTCAAAATACATCTCCAGCTTCGCTGAACTTGCAATACACTTCCACATCTATCAGAAAACAAAGTGTAGACCAATATTTACAAATTTCATCGCAGTGGTATCCATACATTGTCTTGCAAAAGTGTTGATATCCTTAGAATTTTTTTTTTTTTTATATTTTGTAATGACACAACCACAAACTTCACTATAGGGGAATTTACTAGTATGTGATAGACAAACACACCTCCCCCCCCAAAAAAAAAATCAAAATATATTTACATCATGTCCATACTGTATGTGGTCTGTCTCCCAGAGTCAGCACTTTTGTGTATTGGGGTATGTCTACAGGTCAGACTCGGTCAGATTAGATTGAAAATATTTGTGTCTTCCAGATATAGTCTTACCACAGTCTCTGAGTTGGGTAAATAACTGTTTGAACATTGAATAGGCCATTTTAAACCATAAAAATGCTTTTATCTGAAAACAAGAATTGTAGGCCTGGCTGAATGTTAAGCGTCGTTGTCCAGCTAGAAGTCTTTTGGAGCCTTCAACTAATCTCCTTTCAGAATTGTGGTGTAATTTGCTCCACCAGGTTTCTTGTCACTGCTGAATAAAGCTGTCCCTACGTTATGATGCCAATGCCATGTGTGAAATGTTGTCTTGATGTATTAACAAAAATAATTTCAAGGTGAAGTGCAGTTTTTCCTTCCCAGATTCTCTTTTGCACATACCCGAAAAAGTTCAATTTAGATACCTTTTGAAAGATTATTCCTCCATTTTATTACTGTGCCCCACATATATTGTTTGCAATTTGACTTGATTTGGTTTTTGGCAATGACTTTCTTCTACCATAAAAGCCAGATTTATGGGGTGCATGACTTGTCCAGTCTCCTACTCGAGCTGCCGATCCCTGCAGCTCCACCATCGCCACCATGGGCCTTCTATTTGCTTTATTTGATTAATGCTTTCATTGCCAATTTACAGTTGTGCCATATGTTTTTTCATCATGTAAAGATAAAATTTAAGTGTTTGGTGACTTTTTTCAGAGCTTGTTTTATAACCTAACCTTGTAAAATCACCCACAACTTTCTCTCTGACCTTTCAGCTGTTCCATGGTTTTCACGGTGCTGCTTGTTCTCTACTGTCCTCTTAAACTTCTGAGCCAATTCAAAATGTAATTTTAGGTTTGTCATTGCAATGAAAAGAATTTCAAAATGTTCAGTCAGCCTGAATATGCTTCCAATGCAGAGGACGTTTTAGTTGATTTTAAGTATTCCTACATGATATTTTAGAGCTAAGTAATGGAAATAAATTACTTAATTCATGACATGGGGAAAAAAAAAAGGTTTAATAAGAGACAGGCATAGAAGCTGAACCGAGGCTTTGCAATACGGATACGTATTGTTGTTTGGTCACCATACCAAAAACATAAATGAATGTCAACGGCTCCATCGTTGACATATGCTTCTGACAAATTTAGTTATATTAAACACCCTACACAGAAGTTTGTGACTCATTTAAGTCTGTCTAGAAGAATATTCTTCTCCCAAAGAGATATTACAGAGCTGGATTGCTTATTTAGGCAGAAAGGTCTAAGTAGAAAAGAGTTTTTAAATGTATTGAACTTTAAAATATTCTTTGTGAGATTATGGCTCTTTTGTGGAAAATCCACTTGTCAGAACAGTTGTAATTTTCCATTTTGACTGTGTAAAATGAGTTTTTTTTTTTTTGTAAATTGTAGACTAAAATATTACAAGGTTTTGACCGAGTTAATAGCTTTGCCATTATATTTAATGGCACGTGAATGGTGCATTTTAAAAGCACTTTCCTGTTTGTTGTTTGATCGTTATGCCATATTTTATTACCATCATCTGCAAAATTTCTCTGTCAAAATGTTTCTACGAAACAAAAGGCACAACTGTAAAAGCTTGAGCTGTTGTGGTACTGCTCGACGATGGAGACAAATAGCTTCCCCACAAACCTATAATGAGCAGAGCCTGTGCTATATATTGGAATTCCAGTTCTATTTCCTTTAAGTGTTAGTGAAATACAGAGGGAGTGTTAGAGGACAGACAGTGGGAGGGAGTTTTGAGGGAGGTGAGATCTGAAATATTGAAGATGGATTTCTGTGGGAGTGGTGTGTGGGCATTAGAATGCTGATGCTGCAGGAGAGACTCCAACTCGGGAAATCACTTGTCTGTATCATCCCTCCACTCAAATCCCTGATTAGAATCTGTTTTACTTTTGGGTATTCATGACCATGCAGCGACTGGTGTCATTTTATCACTTCTTTAACGTGTACTTGCAATGTCTACCTACGTAGACATTTGCACATACGTGCAAAATGCAATCTGTTCTTTTAATTTTGCTACGAATCTGTGGGCTGCAATTAATTTTTCAAAAAGTTCAAGATGGCAAAGTATTTCTGTTAGCATGTTCTGCTAACAGAACATATCAGGAAATTCAGTTTTGAATTAACATGTGGTGCACTGGTGACTGATAAATTGGCTCATTTATTCCACCCCTCATTTCACTTGACTACACATAGCATACTTACAATTATCTTAAAAGACCTAGGCGTTTGCAAAAATAGAAATTTTCTGTTACTTTTGTAGCTCCTGTCTGCTTGCAAACAGATGACAAAACTGAGATTTTGATAAGCAATTTCTAGCCTGGAGATTTCTAAAACCACCTCAGTTTGTGGTGAATATGTGTGGCTTAGATATCTGAAGATAATTACAAACAATTATGTGGAGGTTCTCTTTGCACCTGCTGAAAACATTAACTGTGCTAGAAACAACAATGGCGCTGTCTTTCATGTTTTTTTTTTTTGTTTTGTTTTTTTTCCCACATCTGTCTCGTCTTATCCTTCTGCTGTTTTCATCTGTTTGCATAAATAACGAGTGACATTTGTTTTGGGAGCATCTTCAGTCTAGCATTTCTCTGTCATGTGTTCTCTTTAAACTCTGATGTCAGATTTTCTAAGTTTTGAACCCAGTGAGAGGGCAATTCATATGGTGTCTTGCGATATTTGCATAACTTGTAGGCTCCTCTCTTTTTATTGGTTTTACTTGTCGCACAATGGATTAGCAAAGGAGGAGCTTATGCGTGTATTTATGTAAAACACACACAGAAATGCGTCTTATAACTGCAACACTGTTCATGTTGCTCATGTTAAAAAGCTGAGCAGTGGATTTAGTGTATTTGTAAACATGTCAACCCTGCTTTTAGTAGTTAATACCAAAAAAAAAAATTGGAAAATCCCACCGGTTTTCTGAATTGTATCTAGACAGGGCACAAATCTGGTATGATATTAATAATTCTATTCTCCACATTATCACTAGCTTATATGTATCGTAGCATTTATGATTGAATTACACAGACCCTGTAAACACAGATTCTGCCACTGATGTGTGTGGGATGTCAACTGAGCTTAAGCTTGTAATGGATGCTTGTGATTTAGAGGTGACTGAAAGTTGGCATGTGACATCTTTATTGTTGTCTGTGTGTGTGTCAGTCTGTGTATGTTTATATATATATATATATATATATATATAGTACTCATACTGAAATATGAGCTGTCTTTGTCTTTCTTGAATTCTTAATTTAAAATCTGGTCTCAGAAATGTCTGCATATAAAAAGGAGCCTAAAGTCAATTAACTCTGCTAAGCTTCCTTTTAATTAAACCTGTTCCTTCTTGGTATCATCTTGTAAAAACAGACAGGAAGGAGAAGACAAGTTGCTTAGATATAATCTGAATGTGAGACAACTCTACTGTATTTGTGTTTGTTGGACATTACTTTTGTTTAATATCAGATAATCCAATAATAAACCACTTAAAAAAAATAGGCAGTTGAAAGAAGAGCCTACACTGGTGTGAACTGGTGTAACGACGGGCACCAATGGCAAGTAGCATCCACGTTAGAATTATTACTAGGTTTGAAATGTTTGCATTAATAGTAGACTGTAGATCGAAGTGTTTCAATTTATAGTAAAGCAATGTATAAGTAAGCTTCTGAAGAGTGTAATCAGAAAATAAAGGTGTGAAATCTGTAAGAATTATTTTTCTTAGTTTGAGGTGGTCTCGTATGAAAAACTCCCTTTTTCAGTCGTGGTTTCTGCATTGCTACTGTGGCATTTCATCAGATATCCCATCTACTGAGACCAAGGATCATTTACCATCTAATAAAGCAAGCAGTCCCTGGCCAGTTTGTTTCAAAATTATTCAATAAACAAAGGATGTAAATCACAATGTCTGCCACTGTAAAAGTCTTTATGGGAAAAATATCACCTTAAAGCATTTCACATCTTTTCCTTTTGACAAATGTCCTTTTTCACACACACACACTTCCCTTCTGCAATGCCCTTTACTTCTTTCTCCATTCTACCCATTATTACTACATCGAATTCTTTACAGTAAGTAAGACATCCTCGGATCCAAATTTAATGCACTAATGTGGACTGTTCTCTCTTGTTTCCTTTTCTGTCTCTGTTGCAGCTGAGGAAGGCAGTGATGGACCACATCTCAGACTCTTTCCTGGAGACCAATGTTCCCCTTCTGGTGCTCATCGAAGCGGCTAAGAGTGGGAATGAGAAGGAGGTCAAGGAGTACGCCCAGGTGTTCCGTGAACATGCCAACAAGTTGGTGGAGGTCAGTTATGAATTAAACTTTTTGACACAAAACCCTTTTTCATTTAGCTTGGTTAAAAGTGTTTCTCAGTATAAACATTCAGTCTTACCCGCTCACCACACATGTGTTACTTAAATGCATGTTTGTTTGTTTTTTAAATGTTGAGATTCATAGAACTGTCTCACGATAAGGTTTAAAAGGTAGGATTCCACTTTTGCAAAAATCACCTTGGAAACATGGTACAAAAATACATTTTTTTACACAGTGTTATGCTCATGAACTCACTTTTGGTATTTGAAGGGAATATAAAAGGCTTTCATATGAAATTTGTAAGGAATTTTCAACAGAATGTCAGCAATGCCACAAGACATATTTTTTTTGGTTCAGCTTTTGTCTCATTCAGCTTGTTAGATTATTCTTTCATCATTTTTTTAGTCGAGCAAAAAAAAGAAAGAAATTATGTAAAATATTTTCATTTTAAATTTAATATAGTAAAAAAAAACAAAAAAAAAAAACAATATGACAAATTTATTATCATTGCAATATTATATGAAACATCAATATGCCATAGACCTGCATTTGGATGGAATAAATATTAGCCAATGGAAAATTATTCTTCCGTAAAGGTTGCATTTATTGTTTTGGGGAACTCATTAAAACTGAATTTTCACCTGAATGAAAAGATATAGCTCATCTTGCTGTCATCTTCTTCTGTTGATGATACGTTTGCTAATCTTGCCACGCGACTCTGCAGATACCCGTCATGCACATTGATCAGGATTAAACATTCTTATATATCACTCTGACAATAAACAGAATACAGGTCAGAAAGATAGTTATATTGTTTTGAAAGAAATAATTTTACCCAAATAATAAACTTTTTGTAACATTCCGATTCTTAAACAGTTTAGGTCACTCATCAGGATGGTGAGTGACGCTGAAGGGTGATTTTACTGTATTCAAAAACTAGTGACCCAGCTTTCTAGTATGATAATTAAGATTCCTTGCTGGATAAAAAGGTAGATGGCTTCACAGAGTTAGTACTCATTGGTGCCACTAATGGTCCGATAACAGTGCTGCAGTCCTTTTCCGTTCATCTTTTTATCATCCACTTGGTTACAGATTCTGTTCATTTTTAATGTTAACGTTATGCTACAATGCAAAATGGTAATTGAAATCTTTATTACAACCTTTTTTAACACAATGGCAGGATTCCTGCTTCCTGCGGCATCGGCTAAGAGAGTAATGATTTGCTCTTTGGGTCATCATGGCCTGTCTGCTGATGAGATTGTTTCTACGATCTGAGTTGGTTCTTTGAGTTTCACAATATTAAAGCTCTCTTTGGCCCAAGGACATTTGAGGTACTTTGTTTTCTGATAAAGTACAAAAAGATGGAAAATTTTCTTTGGTTTTTCCAAGACGTTGATTTAATGTAATGAAGTGAACACTTCTTAATGGCAAGCCTCACAATAAAAAGCCTGTAAGGGCAAAACCTACATTAAAGCCAAGTTACAGTACTGTTGTTTTCTACCGATTCAGGGAGCAAAGGTAATGTAGTCATTTCATTTCAGTCAGTTCAGTATTTTTGTGCTGAACATCTACAAACATTTGATGAAGGCAGTAATGTGTTCTATCATCAAGACAATTTCTAATGAGAAGTGTAGCTATGTTCTGACTAAACATTCAAAGTTTTAAGACTCTTTTAACACATAATAAGCAATATCCCCTTGTCTACTGTATAACAACCACAACCAGTTTTAAGCAAAGATTGTTATAAAAAACCCAGTCCACATCCGTTATTTGTTTTCTAACTAAATGGCTTCCCCTTGGGAATATAGTGATGGCCACTAGTGGTGCATTGGCACCAGTAGTAAAATGTTGTAAATTTTACTATTATTTTTTACTACATTTTTTAATAATAAAAAAGTATTGCTATTATTAGTTATTTATTTTTTATTATTTTATTATTTTTTATTTCAGTTGCATAATCTCAGGCTGAAAAATTATTGAAGAAAATAATTTGTTTTTGTATCCCACACAATTTCACTAAAACACTAAAATGGGTTAACAACAAAATCTACTGATGAAGTCCTCAAATAGGAAGTATTTGGATCATGCTGGTTTTCTAGTTAGTTATGTTTTTTTGTTGTTTTTTTTCATGACATTTATAAATTTTTATTCCTTTTGAAGACTAAACCGAGTCAAAAACAGTAATTCTGATTCTTTGTTGTTACAGTTGAACAATATATGTTTAGTCAAGTTTATTTGTATAGCACATAAAGCAGTTCAATAAAGGATTTTAGGGTTAAAATGTATAAGCCAATAACAAATTACTGAAAAGACATGACAGTTACCAACAGAGTAATATGAATTTGTCCAAGTAAAGCTGACTGCTAAGCATACATATATGCGTTTTTTTTTTTTTTTTTTTTTTTTTTTTATTTAAAGATCTTTTCTCAGTAAAGTTTTGATCTTAACTCTGATCTGTAGATCATATTTACTTGTAGACATTCAGATTTGGTGCATTTAATTGTAACTAATCTTGAACAATAATTGCTCTCAGCAATTAAAAATTTTGACTCTTATAAAGGAACATATCAAACAGATTGAAGATTAAAGGGTTACAATACTCGGTGACGAAACAAAAATATATTGATGCTGAATGAGTGATCTTATTTTCAGATAGATGTGGTGTAAAAAGGTTGTAAGAATTAGTTTGGTGTAGCTTTTTATTTAAAAGTCTGTTGTGTATTCCTCATAATTATATGTTGTATCTGCCAAAGGCAAATTATAGGCACCCTATCCATTAAAGGTCAAAGCTTCAAAACAAGCTATGCAAATGTATTCAAACTTTGATGATTCACAGTCATCATTTCAGCATAATAGAAATCACAGACATACAGAAATGAAAATTGTAAGACACAATCAAAACAAAAATTTCCTCTGCCTCAGAATAGACATGTAAACTACTGATCAGGTTACCATGAATAATTTGTATATGTTTGCAGGCTAAGTTGATGAAATGCTTCAGGCTGTGCCATGGGGTTTGTCAATATCACTTTCGCTGTCATCATTATTCCGTCATCATTTTTTGTTCAGTCATAGATATAGTCATCATAGCAGACACCATCGCAGTCTTTTAGTTTATTACAGTAATTAACATCCCAATCGATGTGTCTGCAGTCATCTTTCTGATATCAGGGAGCCATTAGCTTGACGTTGGGACATAATCAATGACACCAAGGAGTTGTCTTTCATCATACCTGCTAGATTTCAGTTTACTCCCGTCTCATTTGGCAATGCTTTTACATTTTTCTTTTTTTTCTTATTCCTTACACTGCGACCTTTGAAGGTTAAAATTAACTCACTACATAGACAGATAGAGACTTTTATTGCTGTAAAATAGCTTGTTTGTAAAGTAGCTTAAGCTCATTCTGATTGTATGAATCTTTTCTATGAACATTAAAATTTCCAGCCCTGCCCCGGATTCGTGACGATGAACTCACCCCATAGTCTCAACTCTTTAAAAGTCCCTTCCAGTATTTCTATGTAAATGGCTCCAACTGTCTTCCTATCAGATTTGATTAGCTTCCCTTACCCTACTAATGAAAAGTATCTCCCCAGCATGATGCTTCCACCTTTGTGGTTGTTCATCAATTAACAATAAGTATAATAACCTTTATTTTACCAGATAAAAAAACCTTGTTGAGATCTAAAATCTCTTTTTCAAGAGCGGCACCGTTTACAAATATCAACAATTACATTCAATAGAAAAATCAATACGTTTAGTTTTAAAAGCATTAACTTCATAAATCTGTGCTGCCATCTCAACCTGTGATGCATTGTCAGTGAATACACCAGAAATCGTTCATGTAAAATGTGTTAATACATGCAATTGTTTTTTGTTTTTTTTATTACTTGTCAACAAGATGTCTTTTTGGTGACATGACAAAGACTTTTAAAAATCCTTAACTTTTTAATTTAATTCCATGCAGATATTTTGCTGTCATGGCTACTTTTATGACAAAGTTAACATAAGTAAAAAAACAAAGTGCAATCACTTTAATTTTTTGCAGTGTTCCTACAGGAGTTTATGAAGCAACACGACAACCCACTGTTGATGTCAGTTAACTGCATATCTTCATGCATGTATTTGATATATTTTGTCACAGCTTTCCTTTCTCGTTCATCATCGTCCTACACATGGTAATAATTGTCATTTATCATTTTACCTGCCTCTTTCATTGCCACTGGAAACTGAGCTCATCATTAAATTAGTGCTGCCCACAGCAGTGGGGATGGGATGAATGTCTAATCTTTTAAAGTTACCAAGGCTTCTTTTTTATTGCCACTGCAACCATAATACATTTGTGCCAGCGATTCTTGGACGTCTAAAGGACGTTACGCTCCATCACTATTCTAATGTCAGGCTAAAAATTTTCTCTGACCTTGACTCTATGTGAGTATTTGGAGGACATCAGGCATGTCTAACATATTTAGTCAATGGTTTTATACCGTAACCATGTTTTTCTTTTTTTTCTTTCTTTTTTTTTTTTTTTTGACTGGAGTTCACATGTGCAATGCATTCTGCTTAAAGTGGGGACATTTCCTCTGATGGTATCTATGCCCTTTCCCTGCCATCTTTGACATCGTCTTACTCTGTTCTGATTATGATTAACCCAGTTGCACTGTGGTTTACTGTATTATACATTAAAGCAACAGTTTTACAGTTATGTTATTCTCTAAATGCATCTTATTGCTTTATATGTGAAATGTCATTCATTTCTTTACAATAGTGACCTTACTTTGGATATCAGGTAAAACTAGGCGATGTGATTATGCTCATGCATAATCAATAGAAAGTTGAATACAACAAATACTGTGTTGGCCTTGAGGGCTCGGAGATGTGAGACAAATTGCAGCAGTAAAAGAAGTCTGTGAATGACTTTTGTAGTGTACTTCAACCACCTGGACAGTGTTCCCTAACTCCAGACTGATGGTGGTTAATGTCCTGCAACGTTTATG